TTCCCCCCCCCGTATTCCCCTTTCCCCCATTGCCACATTCCGCCCCCAATGTCACCTTTTTGAGCTCCATGCTCACTAGGGACTCCTCGGGGACATCCTGGGGACGCTCTGGGAGTCGAAGGAGCCTTGGGATGTCCTCCATGGCTCTTTGGCACCGCTTCGGCACCCCACAGGCACTGGGGCTGGTATGGCCACTCTTGCTATAGCTGCGGATGAGGTCGTCAGCTATCCCCACCAGGTGCTCCTTGGCCAGGTGGGCGTTGGCCTCCCACAGCCGTTCGGCCTCGGCCACCTTGGCCACCAAGTCCTCAGGGACATCAGGGGACTTCTTTGTCCCCTTCAGGGTGGTCTCGGTGTCCCTGAGCACACTCTGCAGCACCTGAGGGAACGTGGTGGCTTTGCGACACGCGGCCACCAAGCGCTCCAGCAGCCCCAGGGCCGGCTCCAGCCGCTCTCTCTCCATGGTGGCCGTTGTTGCCTCGCTGGCAGCCACCCTGGCCTCTCTCCTCACGGAGGATTCAGTCCTGGTCCCCACCTCAACCCCCTCCTCCCCACCCAGGGCCTGACCCAGCTCCCCCATGCGTTCCAGAGCTGTCCCATCATGGGCAGCCTCGGCCTGCAGCTCCCTGGCCCGGGTGGTCATTGCCTCAGTGGCCACCTTGCTCCAGGTGTCACAGAGCTCGGTGGCCTTCCTAGACAGCTTGGCCCAGCTGTACACAAGCACAGACACCGACCACTGCCACTCGCTGGCTGCCATTGCCACACTGCCCCGGGTGGTCTGTGGGGTGCTCCCGTAGGCAGCCAGGGCCTGGCTCAGGGAGGTGACACCGCCATCATCATCATTGGGGACAATGTGGCGCCTCGGGGTGTTCTCAATGTCGTGCAGGGTGACCCGCAGCTCCTCGGTGAACTCCTCCAGATCCTTGTGCAGGAGCCCTGGGCACTCGAGCATCATCGCCTCCTCGTCCCTCCTGTGCAGGGTGTCCAGCAGCTCACCCAGGGTGGCCACTACGGTGACCTGTGGCTGCAGCAGGGCTGGGGACAGCTGGGGAGGGGACAGGGGAGGTGTCAGGGATCTGGTGGCACTTACGGCCTCCTGGGGTGGCCCCTTGCCCCCGAGGGGTCCCCTTTGTGTCCCTCCCTGGAGGGCTCTGCTTCCCGTCTGTCCCTCCCTTGTTCCTGCTGCCATCCCTGCCACTTCCTAGTAGCCTCTGCCACCCCCGGTCCACTCTGCTGTCCCCTCTGCCACCCCCCTTCTGTCCCCTCTGCCACCCCCGGTCCCCTCTTCTGTCCCCTCTGCCACCCTCCTGTCCCCTGTGCCAGCCTCCTGTCCCCTCTGCCACCCCCGGTCCCCTCTGCTGTCCCCTCTGCCAGCCTCCTGTCCCCTCTGCCACCCTCCTGTCCCCTCTGCTGTCCCCTCTGCCACCCCGCGCCAGTCCCCGGGTCCCCTCCTCTGTCGTCTCCCCCCATATTCCCCTCCAATCGCACCTCTTTGGGCTCCATGGTCACCGGGGACACCTTGGGGACGCTCTGGTGGCGAAGGAGCCCCGGGACCAGCGGCGGTTCAAGCTCAGAAACTGTTGCGGAACGGTGCCAAGAAAAGGCGGAGCCGCCTCATGAGGGGCGGGAAAGGGGCCGGGCACCTGCCCTTTCCCGTACCGCCCTTATGCATAAAAGCTCCAGGATCTGGGCGCTTTGGCTCAATCCCAGGGAAATTAGGATCCGTCCCCAGGGGATTTAGGCTCAGTCCCGGCATTTCCAGGCGGATTCCGCCCTTCTCGGCGGGATGTATGAGGGAACGCGGAGCGCTCCGAGGAGCGGGCGGAACTGCCCTCA